AAGTTTAAAAATGGAATAAATTCAAAAGTAATCAATACAAGTAACCTAGTTCCTGAAAAATATTTCTGAGACGTCAAAATAGAACTTCAGTAAATGAAAGTACCATAAAATAACTAATAACATGTAATTAAATACAAATTCAGTACAGAAAATAATTTTCACTTAAACTCTTTAGTAAACAATGCATAGAATTAAGAAACTAGGATCTAAGAAATAAAAAATTAAAATTATTTCCTAACTAAGAATACGTATTGACTTGTGACTGTTTGATCTTAGGATGAATTTAGAGAAGGCTTCAAACTCATATTTGAATCTAAATGGAATTCTTCATTTTGAGTTAAAAGGTTATCAACAATTAAACTTAATTTTAATGGTTAGTATAGTTTAACAATGTAGATCCTCTAAATTGATACACAGAAGTAAATCAGACGTATCTAGATTAATATCTGTCTTTACAGCGCACTGAACCATAGGGTGGCATGGAGCTTGGCTCAGTCTACCCTGTAGTATTGCCTGCAATACGTATCTACCAGCTCATGAAGAAATGACACCAGCACACCTGTTGTGCTTATGTCTAGGCTTTGCCAGAACTAGGCTAAAGTTTTCGGAGTCTCCCTTCTTTAAACAAGATATCAGCGATATCTCCAGCATTAGCATTGGCCACACTCTCGGCTTTATAAATAAATGCAACTAGTTCTAGCTTGACCTTCTGCTACCCATTATTGCGAGAATTTGTGGACTCAAAACGGCTTTCTTAGTTAATTGAGGATGATTCGTTCCTCCCTCCACTTCAACTAACTAAGATTTTTATGTCATTCATTACCATAAATATCTCTTCTTTAAGTGAGATATCATCGATATCTCTAGCATTAGCATTGGCCAATCACTTGCCTTTATAAATATAAATCTGGCTGGTTCTAGCTTAATCATCTTCTACCCATTATAACGAGGATTTTGGGACTTAAAACTGTTTTCTTAGTTAATTGAGGAGTATTTGTTCCTTCCTCCACTTCAAATAAAAAAATGCATTTAATATAAAAACATCTTCGTATAAAATATTTTGCTCTCCAAAAAAATTTCATATAAAACTTAAGCAGAAAAAAAAAATGCAATTAATCCTTAAGACTTTTTTCTTAAAGCTGAAAAGCTGAACTTTCCATATCTTCGAAAGTAATTACCTCTAGGAATGAAACGTGCGGATATGAGTATCGTGACTTATGTTTTGTATTCCCTAACAAAGTTCAATTAAACTCTTGACTTCCAGGTTTTCCTTTGGGCTTATGGTAAATTCTGTAATAGAACAAATAATTAACTCATTTATGATGATACATGCGTGGATATAAAAATTTATTAATACGCACACAAAAGCATTAACTTTGTATAAAAATATTTTCGTAGCGTTTGTAAATGATAACAATTTATTATGTTTCTGCAATTACCTTCAGGAAACTTTATCTGTTATTTCTTATCAATGTGCCTAGTAGATGAGCACAGTAAGCCATCTTCCATCTTCCATTCTTCATTGTGCTGTTCTGTTCATGCCTTTCAGGTTTTAGTTTAGGATGTTTTTTTTTGTTTTTTGCATCTATTGTCGGCTTTGGAATATTTTGTTTGTATTTACATTTGTATCTCTTGTAACGTGTGCTAGAATACATTTACCTTTAATGGCCTCATAAGTTGAGCAAGGACATTTTCACTCATGGTTATGTCTTTGGCAAGATTGTTCACATATCTACCTTAGTAACCATGCTTGTGTATGGTAGTCGAGTACATATTGTAGTCCAAAACATTTAACGCATTAATAGGTTTTCTCTATCCTTCCGTAAACCCTAATAACACACGTCTATTTATTTACCTTTCCGAGTAGTTAGAAGCTATCTGTTCACATTTCTTCTGCTTCGTAGTCTTGGCATTAATTTTTGTGTGCAGAAGTGTGTGAAACGTTGATAGTGAAGCCTTTTTTATTTTCTCATCATGTATTGCAGACAATGATGGGAATGAGTTTGCTTTGTGGTTTTAATTGTTATTTATGATTGGAAATGTGATAGTTTAACTAAATATTATTATTCAATAGGACTAATTAATTTTGTAGATAGACAGATATAATTTTTTTTTGTCACTTTATTCAGTAAGAAATTTATTTAATAGAGCAAACACTTTCAATGATACTAATTTTGATTAGTAAACTTTTATAAAAATAAGTTTTAAGTAAAGGTTTTTTAATTAGGTAAATAAGTATAAAATATTAACAAAATTAAATTTTCACACCATACTCCTTCTATAATCCAAAAAAAAACTAAGATAAAAACATTTTCCTTGAATTTGATGTTTATTGTGTCTAAGTTAGTTATAGTCAGGAGTGTATAACCAAATACAACTAGAGCTGCATAGTAATAAATAGACATGGAATAAAAGAAACTCACTTATTTAAAATTTTTTATAACAAAACTTCTTTTATCTTCATTTCGTTCTCAATTTAATGGAACAGAAGAGAAAAATATAAGCCATTACCAAATCTTTTTATTGTGCATATATTTCAAAGAAGAATCATTGCATTTGCAGTGTAAGGAAGAAAAAGGGAATGGAGGAACGCATCGGATACAGTAGTAGTCAATGGGCGCCAAAATTCTTCAACATTAAGTTTTTGTCTTCTGTGGGTGATAACTATGCTTATCGATTGACTACAATATGACAATGTGATGTATAATCGAAAATATATTGTAATATATTACTCCTCCATTGAAAATATTGCGTCAGAGGAAAATTCTAAGGCTTCATAAGGCGATTTCAGTGATAAAAATTTTTGTAATTAAAATTAATTTTAATTTATTGAAAAGTAATTATTGTAATCTATATTTTACGTTATTAAGCAATTTTATATTAGGTTTCTCACTGAATTTTTAATATTAATTAAAATTGTGTAAATATTATTAAATGTTGTATTAAAGAGAACTTGCCACTTAACATAAAATATTATACATTTTGTATATATAATTAATATAGTTATTTTAAATTAATATATTAAAAACATATAATATTAACTCTGAATAATTGATGAGTTAAAGTATTCAAATTAACAACAAATAAAGAATGCATTTGGTGGTATTAACAGTATTTAGTGTACCACAAATTGAGACTATCTGATTTCTCCAAAAAATGTAGTTATACATTATTATAACAGAAGATTATGTATACATGTATCTTATAGATTGGTTTTAATGCTTAGTGACAAACCTTGCACTTCTATCCGAGTTTTATGGACTTTTGTGAGACCACACATCGGAGCACTAAAATCTAAGTTTTAAAACAAGTCTATAGTATTGGTGAAAAAGATACTTTTATGAAGATTTATGTGTGGAATGTCCATAAAATTATCATTTCAGATTGTTTAAAGAGGTATTTCTCTGAAGATCTCTATGTGTCTTTTCCGCCAGGTTCATTAGTTCGTATTAATAATAGAAGTATTTTTCTGAAAACCGAACTGAATAAGCTTGGCGGTATGGTATGACCGCCAAGCTTATTAGTTCGTAGATATCTCTAGTGGATTGTCTTAACTTTATAAGTACTGGGCATTTGCAAGCAAACAGTACTGGCCATTTCAATAATTAAAATAAAGTTTTTGATTTTCGAGCGTTATTTTCAGTATATTTCTATAAGAATTTGGCAAATTCGATTTTACTTTCATCAAAAGAATTTATTAATTCAATAATAGTTTTTCTTCAATTCTTTCCTGCTTTACTGACATTTTTGATTATAGGGATAACCAGTTTTTCAACCAATAAGCTATCAACATCGCCTCAATTTTAAGTGCTGGACTACTGTGATCTTAGCCCAGTAAGATTTTCGTGCTTAATACTTGGTAAAGCTGGACCATGTTTATATAGATTATCGCCATACATTCTAATTATTATTTTGAAACTGTTAGAAAATAATACTGGGTATGTTTTGGACCATTTAATGAGATCAGTATTTGCTGCCTTGCTGAGAATGTTTTTTCTCCATACTTTGCTATCTCGTCCACACTTTCATATCCGTATATATTCGGTACATCTAGACCCAGATAAATAATATGGATAATTCGTAACCTTAGTTAAGTTTTGAGTTTGTACTATAGTTCCAAAATGTGGGAATAGCAGCCTTAGCGCTGGAAAAAATTATGTCTTTTAGATTTGTAGATACTTTTCTGATAGATGTTAATATCTCAAATGGCCGAAACGCAATAAAACACTGAGTACAAATATTGTATTATACAATACACTGCACTGCTCACAATATTTATTATTGACAGCATCAATAGATAGAAAATATTGTTTCCTATTAAGATGATTTAGAAAAAAAAGTTCCGTTATCTTACCAATCGAAAGCCATAAATTTATGTTAAACGTTGCAACTATAATTAATCAAAATATTAAATAATTTAAATAGCTTCCAAGTTAAGGTGCTTTATTTGCTACTTGCCATACTTACTGTCATATCGAAACGTTTTACGTACAAAGCATTGCATACATTGCAAAGGCACAAGCATCTATTAAAGTATCACAATATTACATTGAGATTGCAGCAAAAGAATTAAGAAACCTCTGCACTGAAAGCTTCCAATGGAAGATGCAAAACACCACATCACCACTGTAAGCTTGTTATTTTTAAAGCATTTTTAAAAAACCTGCACCATAAATCTTTATTATCAATTCTACTTATTTAAGATTTTTCGAATCGCTGACCATTATTCGATTTTACGAAGTTATCCTTGTTGGAAGCCACAACTACAAGCATCGCACAGAAAAGTAAAATCATTGCAAATAAAATCGAATAAAATACGATTCTATAGGATAAGGATGTGTACTTATGTGTATATAATCCTCTCAGCTTACAGGCCATTCAAACATTCCATATTATTTAAATATATGAACAACTTTTTCGTTTACTTGCAAATGTTTGGTTTATTTAAAACTCAGTTTAAATTATTTTGAAAACTATCCATTTTTTAATTGTCAGAAACTTCAATAAAAAAAATTATGTAGTACAATATTATGGTATCAAAATTAATTTTTGCCAGTGCAGTCATAGTAACAGCTACAACATTCTTCCTATTTGGAGCCTATTGCCAACACGTCGACGTATTGAGAAACTTACAAAAAGTCATACAAAATGATCCATACGCGTTTTTCATGCGCTCCAAACTATATGACTCTGTGAGTAAATTAATTTTGATTCATTTCCTAATAATATTTACAATGACTTTTATAAGTTTCGATTTTTCGGAATCAACGAAGATGAATATGAGGAACCAACACGTATGCAACAGATCATGAAATATGGTTTTCCTAGTATGGATGATGTGCGTCTTTATTCCGATTTTGTACTCTCCTATGATCGTAGAAATCGTGTTGCACATTGGGTATACGAACATTTAACTGCAAACTGCCTTAGAAATAATGCCGGTGTTAGGAGGCGTTATGCACACTATCTACCCGACATGAGTGTACCATCAAATTTTCGTACAGATACAACTGATTATTCATGTTCTGGATTTGATCGTGGTCATTTGGCTGCAGCTGGCAATCATAAATGTCAACAAATGCATTGTAATGAAACGTTTTATTTAACCAATATTGCACCGCAAGTGGGAAGAGGATTTAATCGCGATGCCTGGAATAAATTAGAAATATATATTCGTGAGCTAACTGAACGTTATAATTCTGTATATGTTTGCACTGGACCACTTTATATGCCAAAAGAGAAACCGTCTAATAAGTATTGTGTAGAGTATCAGGTAATCGGACCAAAAACTATAGCTGTTCCAACACACTTTTTTAAAGTTATTACTGTGGAATCAAAACTACCTGGTGGTAGTCCGTATATGGAAGCATACGTAATGCCAAATGCACCAATAGACAGCGATATTGATATTCGTGGTTTTCTCAGTGATATTAAGGTTATCGAACGAAATTCTGGTCTACAATTTTTTAAAGGTATAAGACGTTGTGAGTTTTTCGGTACTAATTTTAAAACTGTTCATGAGTTATATAAAACGTTTCAATAAAAACCAGGTCTAAAAAGTTTCATTGCTTGCAATTATATAGTATCTTTTTGGTACCTGATACGTACAATATATCTTTAAGTTTCGGTGATAAATACTTAAGTATATTACAGTACAACCCCTGAAGAAAAGCATGCATATTAACGATTATTTCATCTATAATGTATCTAATCACGCACTTTAAATGGTTATTACTTTTTCATATAACACAGGTTTAGATACATAGCTACTAAAATAATTAAATACTTGATACATAGGTATCAACTATGTATATCTAGAGTAATATCTTCTTTGTGAAACTATAATTAACTCCGCTAAATGTTTCAGCACCCGTGAATATAGTATATTGCCTGCACTACGCAATCTTGGCTAGTCAGTCGTCATATCATTCATGAGCTATCGTACATGTGAGATCATTTTTGATAAGCTTTTGATTAGCTTAAAGCTCTCAATAGCAATTTAAAGATTTAATTTAAAAAATTTGAAGATTTTAAAGCTGATGAACTGAGAAGGTAGTTGAAGAACCGTATATACATTTACGATGCATATATATGTATATATGTTGCTTTAGTTCTGGTACTTAGTTTTGAAGCATATATCTTAACTTGAAACTCGGAAGTGAGTTTGTGACGTTAGCAACTATTTTAGTGACTATTTTTCTCAACCCCCACACTGAGCTTTAAACTTGATAGGGTACGACTTCAACCTGTGGTACTTATATTTTCAGTATTTTTATTTCAATTAGTAGTATTTATTTGGGTTCGGGGAACTTTACCTCGATTTCGATATGATAAATTAATATATTTATCATGAAAGTGTTATTTACCATATTCATTAAATTTTTTATTTTATTTTATTTTATTTTAAAATTTTAATTTATTTTATTAATCTAACCTATAATTATATTTACAAATTAATTCAAAAAATAATTCTCAGACCATTGATGATGAGTATTTGGCAATACTCGAAACAGCTGTATGGTCAGCCCAGAATTCAATTAATTAAAAGTTTATAAAAATGTTGTTATTACAATTCACTATTACTTGAAATTTCTCTATAACAAAAACATAAAAAATTAAATATAAGAAAAAAAATAAAAAAAGTTTAGTAGCAGTTTACCAAACCTGTTTGAGGCACAGAACCAAACTATTGTGAAAAAAAACAAACTCATTTTTATATAAAATTCTGAGTTCTTTACCATGAACCGAACTATATTTTGTATTAAAAAACAAAGCAAATCAAATAACTGATTCATTGAATTCTCATACCACTGAAATGGATCACTTTCAGAGTTGAAACAATTTAGTCTTCATCATCATCCATGACTATACTGTCCATGTAGAACCTAAGTCTGTTTAACAACAGTCTTCCATTCTTCTCTGTTTTTTGCTTTTGTTTTCCAATTTCTTATGTTCAGTTCTTCTAAGTCCTGCCGCACATTGTCTTTCCATCGCTTTCTTGGTTGCCCTCTGAGCAACTTCGTTCTCGTGCAGCGATTAAGTATTCTGGTTCAAAACTATATTTTTATTTCTAGTATTATTCCTTTTTATTCCATGACTATGGGTTCTTACAACTTTAAACTTACGTATGTTAGAGTGACATCATAAATACTATTTATTATTTTATTGCTCTAAATAGTTTTTATCAGATTTTATCAGATAATAACTTAAAACCTTAAGATAAAGTTTTCCTATAATCGATTAGATTGACACCATTATCTGTTTTTCTCTATAAACTGCTAGTCTATCACTATCAAATACTGCATATTAGACTTATTTTATGTATTGACTTATTACTCCAATATACAAAATTTATGGTTTATATTTATATTAAAGCAAAAGTCATAAATTGTACTACATTTACATATTTAAACGCTACACTAATACACAAAAATTATAACGACTACTCTCATTACTACTTGCCTTGTCTATATTTTAGTGTTATTCATATCATCACTGTTTCGAGTAACCTTAAAGTCTTTTTATACCACATAGTATTCTTTTAATTAAACATTCTATTTTTAAAACATAATAGCAATACTGGAAACTAAAGATTACGGACCTTCATTAAAAATTGTAGAAATAAAAATTAAAAAATAAATAGGGAATGAAATTAAATTACAATTGCAATTGAACCTGAAATCAAAAGAAAAAACTTATATTGAATTAAATTAAAAAAGGGACCCATTCAAGTGGAAACTAAGCAATTTACAGCAACAAAATCGAGATAAGTAGTAAATACAAAAGATATTAAAAAAATAAATAGAAAATGACTTAAAAGAAGTCATTGTTGAAACCGAGAAACTGGAAGGACACGATTATGTGTCTTCTATTGCAATGGCGGCAATAGAAAATAGAGCAATTTTATTGGGGGAAGTACAATTAGTTTCCGAGCTATAATTAAAAATGTTCCATCAAGCAAGAAGAATAGTATAGAAATGGTAGTAGTTTCTGCAAAAAAAAAAAAAAGAAAATTTATATATACAATGGAATAAAAAAAATTTTTTACTGCAGTAAAATTATAAAATCATTGAATCATTCAAACACCTTCTAAGCATTAAATTCTTCTATAAAAGTCACTAATCTTGTCATTCTTGCTACACTTTAATAAAAGTTAAAGTTAATCTTTATATATGTTTTAGATAGTCAATATTTGGTATATAAAATCAGAAGAAATTTTAAAAAGGTTCACAAAATTTTATTTGTAATCTTAACTTTATTTTATTTCATTTGAAACTATAAAGGTTTTTCTTTTTCTTTTTGCTTTTGTTTTATTATTTTTTTTTTTTTTTGAACTCATCTTAAACACACTAGAAAGTCATATGTGATTTTACCTCGGAATATCGTTACGTTTGCTTAACAACCCAAGAAACGACCGTGTGCGCCATAAAAGTCTACATTGTATTCCAACCGAACTTAATGCTCTGCCTTATGAGTCTACCTAAGATTTCTGCTCTGTTCGGAACATGGCACAGGATACCCAATCAGCCATTCAAGCACTTAGTGCTGAATGTGAAATACAGAAAGCAGAAAGTTTTATCTGCAAATGACATCTTAATAGTGTTAAAATGCTGATTCAGCTCGGAAATAGCGCTGGGAATGCGATTTAAGTTCAACTTGGCAAATTAATATGTGAAAATAATCAAATATTTGAAAATTGACATTTTATGTTAAGTCCTTTTAAGGAATTTTGAAAATTGGTTTGTTTTTACCCGCATTCATGAGTGAGTGATTTATTATGGTCATTAAGGGAAAATTTAAATTTAAATTGTAATTATTACAGTGCAGTTTAAAATTTTAAAATTTATTAGCGATAGGAATTATTATTGGATTACGACAAAAACTGCATTGCATATTAAATTCTATTCATTGAACTAAGGAAGGATTGAACTATTTATTATATGGAATATGTCGCAAAATACTATTACACGTATTAAATTAGCAGATCATCGATAATACAAATACAATAATTAATTGTTAAAATAGAAGAGAATGATTATTTTAGGTTATAATCCATCACAACAAAGACTTATCATAAAGAGAAGTTTTCGAAAACTAATTTAAAATTTAAACTTAGTTAAAAAAAAATTAGACATATCTTGTATAAAATCGTTTAAATTATTATAAGGAGCATTTAAAACTCAAACCCACCTCCTCTTGCATATGCGACTGTTGTGATCATTTACTATTTGTCTCTGAACTTGGACACAAATCTATGTCCCCCGATCCATGGACCATTTTTAAATATTACAAGCATGGAATTTTGTTGCTAATATAACATATATAACTGATATCGGATAGTTTAATTGCTTTAATGTAAGTTTAATCTGTATTAGTTAGTTGTTATCTATTCTTTATGAATGTTTATGTATCTCATATCAATATATATATGGAATATTAAATAATTGAAATCTAGCCAGTATTTTCCATTCTGTAGGTACATAGGATTTAGTTTTTCTAAAGTTGATTGTAGAACTATAATATTTTACAAATATATAGAAAAATTGTAGTAATAATAAAAATATACAAAATTACAATCCTTTATACTCTCAAATAGAAGTTTAGTATATGAAGATTTGGAGAACTTTGTAAAGTTGACCAATTGAAAAATACTATTTTAACAAAATTCACTTCTTTACTTTAACGACTCACACTGCATGCATAGACATGTCTTTACGTTTTCACAAATCTTCTTCTACTAACTCCCTCTCTGTCCGTTTTGCTGGTGTTTGACAGCTATAGGTGACAGTGCTGCCAGATCTGAATCACACACATGCATTATTATTATATAAAATTATGATTATAAATAAGTTTATAAACAAGTTCGTTCATTCGTCTCAGGTACCACCAAGTAGTCTGGGTTACTGTTATGATCTTTGTGATTTATACAGTGAGATTCTTTCTCTTGTTGGGTTTGGTTACAGTGCCATTTTTTTTAATATTTTTTTTTCTTTTCAATGCCATTGTCTGTCCTTTAATTCTATATGAAATAGCTATTAATTACCTCTACCTCTTATTTCTGTTTGAATCACTTTATTGGGTATTAGCGGTTTTTTATTTTTTATTTCTATTTTCACCTGCTTATTGGCTAAGTGTAATAACTGTTTTTATTTTTTATTTCTATTTGAACCGGCGTACTAACTATAGTTTTAGGTATTCATTATTGCTTATCGTATTAAGCCGAAATATACCCCATATTTCTATCAGACAATGATTGACAAAATTCTACCATTTTGTGGTAACATCTTTAATAGATTCACATGATTCCTGACTTTACATTGTATTTGCTTTTATTCAGGTGTTAAAATTTTGCTATATTATAGGTTGTGATATATTATGTGTTCGCCATACATTATTAATGTATAAATGTATATAATATCGTTACCAGGTAGTTGAATTGTTGACTTTTGTCATTATGTTTATCACTTCGAATTTCATCATTAAAGAATTTGCACCTGCTTATAAGTTCAATTGTTTTAAAAAAATTAGTCCATTGAAAATTGTATATCAAGGACAGTAACTTAGTATGCCCGAAT